ATATATATTTATGTATATATAAATACACACACATGCATGTATACATTTCAGAAAAATATGTTATGTTCATATATTAAATATATTTATATATGAATATAAATATAGACATGTAAATATTTTCAAAATATATACTCTGTGTGTGTGTATTTATTTATACATAATATACACCGTATACACACATTTTGGATGCGATTAATCGTTTGACAGCATTAGTATAAAGTGATACATTTACCATTTTTATTAAAACTTTTGCTGCACATGACCCTTGTAATGACATGTTACTTTAGATTCTGGAAATATGACCAGTCAGTTTGCTATATTTAGTTTCAAAGATTGGTATAAACATTGATGGGACATCTAAAATGTATTCGATCAGTTTTTTTAGTAAAGATTTCTGTGTTGATTCTTTGGGGGTATTAATGGCAACCTCTCTCTCTTTACAGGTTCTCTTTAACATTAATAGACACTTTAGATACTCTTGTGGTGAGTTAAATCTTTTCTTCTTTGATGGAAATAATATAAACTTGATCAAAAACACTAATGATGTTTATTTAATCAGCCAGACATGTTAAGCAAGCTTATTCAAATCAATACTATGGAGGACATAATAATAGATGCTTCTAAACTGTTGTTTCGTGTGTTTTGAGCAGTTGTTAAATAAACTGGATGAATTTGAGGAGGCTGTGAAGAAGACCGTGCGAGACGTCAGATTTGATAATGACATAGTCGTCTCTGTCTTTGAGACCAATATCCGTGTGCTGGGGTACGAATCATGATGTTTCTTTAGCTTTGGATGTGTTTGTTTTTTTAAAAACACTGGGTCAAAAAACTGAGCAGGAATACAGTAGATTTTAAAGCAGGTTTTTGACATAATTAGATTTATAGGCCTTATTCTCTACGTTCACTGTTCTTATAGACTTCCCTCCATGAAATGCATTATTGATGAAACTTCTCCCTTTTCTTCCAGTGGCTTGTTGGGCGCCCATGTCATGGCAGATGTTCTAAAGCAGCGTGGAGAGAGAATGCAGTGGTACAGAGATGAACTGCTACACATGGCCAAAGAACTGGGCTACCGCCTCCTGCCTGCCTTTAACACCACCAGTGGCCTTCCTTATCCTCGGGTAACTCCACCACTATTGACTGATACTTGAATAATTTTATCTGTCCTTCTATTGGCAGAAGAATGACATAAAGGTGTAATTCACTGCTGGCAAGATGGGCTTTTAATAAAACTTGAATAATTTGAAATCAGTGCTACATGACTAGAAAAAAAGGACTTGTTGTTCCATTTTGTCAAATAGTTCAATACACATTATGCACTTTTCATTTTGGCACTGATCATCTATCAATCCAACTGTCCATTAGTGGGAATACAAAAATGCAGAAGTATGATTTGTAGTTTTAACAAAAGCTCTGGAGCTGCCAAAAGTCCGCTGGCAGAATTTTGCTGACAAATAAATATCTGTGTGCTGGCAAGAGTACACATTGTTCATTTACATATACTACTGACATTGTAACAATAAAAGGCTGGTTGAAAATTGGCAAAATATCCTTGAAT